GATGGCTGTCTCTCTTATCGAAGCCAGATAGAGAAGAATGGCTCCTCTGTGCAAACAGAACAGCAGAAGAGGAAACCGAGGCAAAAGTACTTGCTCAGTTGACCGATCAACTGGTACAAGGGCCTTCCCACCTCATCTCCATTCAAATCAAATCTGTGGGGATTTGTGAGGAGATTTTCCTTCGTGCTGTTATTTCGAAATGGAGGAAACTTCATAGAAGCACAGGGCTGGAAGGGACCTTGGAGGTCTTCTAGTCCAACCCCCTGCCCAAGGCAGGGCTTCTTATAGCAGGGGTCTCCAACCTTGGCAACTTTAAGACTTGTGGACTTCAACTCCCAGAATTCCTCAGCCAGCAAAGTTGAAGTCCAGAAGTTTATCAATATCCCGCAGGGTCCTTAAGTCCTTAAATCAACCACCGCTTTCAGAAGTTCTAATTAATCCTCATTCCCTTCTGCGTTTCCTAAAAGCACTTCCTGGAAGACCCCACTGTGACACAGAATTTAGCCTTAAAAGCCTTTAGCCTTTTCACTGTCTTCCATGTTGTTATGACGTCACCACTTCTTTATCGCTTCTGGAAAATTGATATTATTGCATCGCCACTTCTTCATCAGGTTCTTTCCAGCTTTTCTTGTGTATTCAGAGTGTAGGAAGTTAGCACCCAACCCTCTCCTAGAAAAATGAAATATCCTGGGAAATATTAAAAAGGCAGAATATTTCCCCTAAAAAGAGTAGAAACTCAGAAGCAGATACCCACTTCAGAGAGGCAGAAACTCAAAAAAACCCACCTTTGCTAATGGGCCATTAACGCCTGGGGCAGAGTATTCTACATAACAAAACCCTCTACCCATCTCACCACCTGCCCTTGGAAGATTGTATCAGCCAATATTCAGGTGAACCCATGTGGTCCAGACAAAGCCTACAAAGTTAGTTAAGACCACCACCACCCGCCCCTGGGAATCTGACAGCCAATGGGATACATTTCCTACACAGGAACAGGAAACACTAAGGTGGGGCCCAACAGAGGGTATATAAGGGACTCTCAGCATCTCAGCCCTTCCTTCTTTTCCTTCACCTTGAAGCATGTGATCATCCTTTTCACTCTGGAGCTCCAAGCCACGTGGTGCTGTCCACCATTAAAACCATCTTTCCAAACAGCCTCCATGTTTCCAGTGTCTTTTTCCCCACTTGGAACTGAACCCAGAAGGATATTTCTTCCAACAAGAGAAAAGGTGGAATGTTTTAGATTTGATTCAGAAAATGTGTCTCGGGATCAGGTGGGAAGGTGCATAGAACAGGAACGCAGGTCAGCAGGGTCTCATTAAAGCAGGGATGTCAAACTTAAGGCCTGGGGTCCAGATTTACTTAGATCTGGTCTGCCCCCCCTGATGGAAACAGTGAAGGACCGGCCCAAAGTGCTTCTGTCAGCGAAAACAAGCTCCCGACCTCCGTTTTCGGCTGCCACATCCTCCTTCAACCTACTGCCAGTGAAAACGGAGCTCGGGAGAGCTGCCTTCCCGAACTCCGTTTTTGCTGCCAGACGGTTGCAGGAGGCCATGGCAGCCGAAAACGGAGCTCGGGAGCCCGTTTTCGCTGACTGAGCACTCAGGCCACCCCAGACGCCCCTGACAGGAGTGATGTCAAGCTGGCCACACCCACCATAGACACGCCCACCCCAGTCCCCCAAGGTCAAATACAACCCTGATGTGGCCCTCAATGAAATCAGCTTTGACAGCCCTGCATTAAAGTAACTTCATCATTTTGCTTGGTGGTGCGTCTGCTGTGGGAAGGCTGATATAGCTCCTTCGATAAACCATATAGACAATAGATAGATAGAGAAGATAGAATTCTTTATTGGCCAAGTGTGGTTGGACACACAAGGAATTTGTCTTGGTGCAAATGCTCCCAATGTACATAAAAGAAAAGATACATTCATCAAGAGTCAAGAATCATCAGGTACAACACTTAATAATAGTCACAAGGTACAATAAGCAATCAAATCATACTAGGAAACAGTCAATATAGATCGTAAGGATACAAGCGACAAAGTTACAGTCCTACAATCACAAGTGGGAGGGGATGGGTGATAAGGAGTGATGAGAAGATTAACAGTAATAGTAGTGCAGGCTTTGTAAATAGTTGGACAGTGTTGAGGGAATTATTTGTTTAGCAGAGTGATGGCGTTCAGGAAAAAAACTGTCCTTGTGTCTAGTTGTTCTGGTGTGCAGTGCTCTATAGTGTCATTTTGAGGGAAAGAATTGAAACAGTTTATGTCCCAGATGTGAAGTGTCTGTTAATATTTTCACAGCCCACTTTTTGACTCATGCAGTATACAGGTCCTCAATTGAAGGCAGGTGGGTAGTAATTGTTTTTTTCTGCAGTCCTAATTATCCTCTGAAGTCTGTGTCTGTCCTGTTGGGTTGCAGAGCCAAACCAGACAGTTATAGAGGTGCAGATGATAGACTCAATAATTTCTATATAGTATGATATACACACAACACACACACACACACACACATACAGAGTCTTCAACTTACAACCATTTGCTTAGTGACTGAAGTTACAACAGCACTGAACAAAGAGGGCCCCTTTTCACACGTATGATCATTGCAGCATCTCCACAGTCACATGATCAAAATTAAGATGCTTGGCAATTGGCATGTACTTATGACGGTGGCACTGTCCCAGGATCCCGCGTTCACCCTTTGTAACCTTCCCAGCTGGCTTCCGACAAGCAAAGTCAATGGGAGAAGACAGATTCGCTTAATGACTGCACGATTCACTGACCAGCTAAAGGGATTTGCTCAACAATGGTGGCCGAAAAGATCATAAAGTGAGGCCCCCATCTCTTCTCTCCCTCCCATTGAGTCCCAGCTGATCGGCTGGGTCTCCTTTGGTTGCCCTGCACAGGAGAACGGAGCTGGAAAGCAGGTTAGTGGGGTGGGGAGGGAAGGGAAGGGGGATTTTGCAGTGACCTTCCCTTGCCACGCCCACTAAGCCACCCCCGCAGAATTGGTGGTAAAATTTTTGCATCCCACCACTGGTCCCCAAGGTAATTCTATTTTTGCAGCTTTGTACGGCTAATCCTCAACACACAACAGTTTGTTTAGTGACCATTCAAAGTTACAATGGCTTACGACCATTTTTCACACATACGACCACTGCAACATCCCCATGGTCACGTGGACACAATTCAGACACTTGGCAACTGGCTCCTCTTTATGACGGTTGCAATGTCCCCGAGTTATGTGATCCTCTTTTGCGACCTTCCGACAAGCAAAGGAAGCCAGACCCATTTAACAACTGTTTTACTAACCTTAACAACTGCATAAGTGTGAAGAACAGTCGTAAGTCTCTTTTTTTCAGTACCGTTGTAACTTTGAATGGTCGCCAAATGGAAGGTTGTAAGTCAAGGACTACCTGTTGTCCCCAATTTGGGTCTGAGCCTGGTGCCAAAGCCAACAACAGACGCCAGACACAAGGTGCAGGTTTTCCGATTGCTTTTTATTGGAATAGTACTCCAAGGAAAAGGGCTCCTGGTCAAAATGCGACGAGCCAAGAACAAAGGATTGAGCAAGTTTTACACACTTTCACTAAAGGAGAAGGTGGGACAAAGTGAGATCATAAGAAATATCATCTAATAAACATTTTAGTAATAATTCTACATTTTGTTCTGTTGGTCTCTAGCTGTCCCTATTCCCAAGTCTTGGCTAACGAATGCCCTAGGAATTATCTAATACAGGGGTCACCAACTTTCTGGACCTCGGGGACCACCAAACTCATAATTTTAAATCCCACGGACCACTAATATGAATTTTGAGTGACGGTGGCTTTCTGACATTGGTGGGAGAAAGAGAGAGAGAGATCCAATCTAACCTTGGAGGGCTGGCAGTGATGTGTTCCCCCCCTCTCTCTTTCTCTCCCTCCCTCCCTCCTCCTCCCTCCCTCCCACTGTCTCTCTCTCTCTCACACACACACACAGGTCCCTCACACACACACACACACACACACACACCCTCCAAGGCAGCCTCATTCCTAAACTGATTTTGGGAGGGAGGGGAGAGAGAGAGAGAGAGAGAGAGAGAGAAGGTATCCTGCGATCCCAAATAAAGAATGACCGATCGGTAGCAAAACAGGGTGGGGGATTTTCATGCAGACTTTTTTGGGGGCGGGGGTCTTTCCCAGGGTCTCTGCAAAAAAAGCAGAAGCAGCCTGGATTAATTGCTTTGGGGTGGTGCTTTGGAGGTGACATTTCTCTGTGGACCACCAAAATTTTCTTGCGGACCCCCCGTGGTCCCCGTCCCACCAGTTGGCGACCACTGATCTAATACATATTTGATTTGCTGCAGGCTTAACTTTTAGCTGAGGTCTGCAAGTTGGCTAACTTGTGTCACTTTTATCAGCTTTCCAATTAGTCAGGATGGTTACAAGAGTTACTCGTGCATATCTCCTGTGTTCTTGCCAGATAGACCCCACAATTACAGACTTCTTCATTTACTTTAAAGTGTGTGCCATGACCTGGTAGCAGATGGCCCATCAACCTGTACAAAGTGGCCAAGAGTCCAAATTTCAATCACATGTCGATGAGGGTGCTACAACGGTTGTAAGCGTGGAAAAAGTCCCTTTTTTTCAGTGCTGTTTAAACTTTGAAACGGTCACTAAAGAAATGAAAGTAAATTCAGGATTACCTGCAGTGCTATAGGTAGCATTAAGTTTCAATTCTGCTTGTTGTTGGTTTTTTTTTTTTTAACAGACGTTGTATTTACCCTTCTAATTTAAGAATGGTTTCTTTATCCTTTTGGTGTTGCTGCTTCTGCAATTCCTGAATTAAAAATTGGTTCAGGGATCAAGTTGCAAACCTCAGCATTGCAAATTCTGAGGGAACTGTATGGGAAATGGTGAGTGATGCAATTTTGCATGTTGCCCAAAATAGCCCTTTGCTTGTGACGTGTATCGTGAGGGATCTAGGAAATAAATTGGAGGTGGCTGGGCACCAGAAATCCATCTGAGTGAGGCTTCAGACAGCAGTGTGTGTCTTCTTCTACAGCCAGAATGAATAACCGTGTCTTCCTTGGGCTTTCTGTTTTGCTTATTGCCTGCCACCTCACTGGTGCAAGTAAGTAGTACCCTCCTGGATTTTTCTCTTCCTCCTCTTTTCCTTCACTCTCCATCATGTACTCACTGTATAAATAGTCTACCTTTGAATGTCTTAATAGCGTAGTAATTTCATATATGCTCATTGAGACTGCAGGGGTGATGTGGGTTTGTGCCATGGGCTTAATAAAATAAATAAACCCTTCGTCCTGATAGCAGCATCGATGGATATGTGGCTTTAGAACTTTAAATAGGTTCAGTATTGTATTTATTTTATATGCCCCTTGGTAAGTATGATTTGATTGCTTATTGTACCCTAGGACTATCATTAAGTGTCGTACCTGATGATTCTTGACTCTTGACAAACGTATCTTTTCTTTTTATGTACACTGAGAGCATTTGCGCCAAGACAAATTCCTTGTGGGTCCAATCACACTTGGCCAATAAAAAATTCTATTCTATTCTAATCTATGCAGAAAGTTTGGCATGAGGGACATCTAAACTGATTTGTAAATTAAGGGAGCAATCAACCTGTTTTCTGACCTAAAGGACCTGAAGTCCAGATAATAAATAATGGATGGAAACTGGGACTTTTTTAAAAAGAACAAGAAATCTCAGGGAAGTTCATTCGAGTAAACCTAGTGTCAAGTGTCATGAAACAACGATTTGTTTCTAGTTTTAGGAAAACTAGAAGCAACAAAGCAACAAAGATGATAAGGGGACTGCAGGCTAAAACATATAAAGAACGATTGCTGGAATCAGGCATGTGGACCAACAGTGGAAGTTTCTATTCCATTCCCTATATTCTATTCTATTCTATTCTATTCTATTCTATTCTATTCTATTCTATTCTATTCTATTCTATTCCATTCCCTATATTCTATTCTATTCTATTCTCTATTTTCTGTTCTATTCTATTCTATTCTATTCTGTTCTATTCGATTCTATTTCTATTCCATTCCCTATTTTCTATTCCATTCTATTCTATTTCTATTCCATTCCCTATTTTCTATTCTATTCTATTCTATTCCTTTCTATTCTATTCTATTCTGTTCTGTTCTGTTCTGTTCTGTTCTGTTCTATTCTATTCCATTCTATTCTATTTCCATTTCTATTCCATTTCCCATTTTGTATTCTATTCTATTCTATTCTATTCTATTCTATTCTATTTTATTCTATTCTATTCCCTATTTTCTATTCTATTCCCTATTTTCTATTCTATTCTATTCTATTCTATTCTATTCTATTCTATTCTATTCTATTCTATTCTATTCTATTCTATTCTATTCTATTCTATTCCATTCCATTCCATTCCATTCCATTCCATTCCATTCCATTCCCTATTTTCTTTTCTATTCTGTTCTGTTCTGTTCTGTTCCGTTCTGTTCCGTTCCACTCCACTCTAATCTCATCTAGAAACATTCTGGAAGGAACTTTATGCTAGAAATCAGAAAATTCAGCTTGTCCTAAGTTTTTTCTTACGCGATCCTCATAATGCATTGCCAGTTGGCAATAAAGGTGTTTTGTTCCCTCCTCTCCTCACTACCTCGTGTTGTTCGCAACGCAAGTGACGCAAGCCTTGTGTTCCCATGGGCCATGTGGGCAGCCTTGTGTTCCTGGGCAGCCTGGATTAATTGCTTTTGCGGGGTGACATTTCTTTGTGGACCATCAAAATTTTCTCGCGGACCACCAGTGGTGCCTGGCCCACTGGTTGGAGACCACTGCTCTAAAGAATGGAATAAACGTGCGGAACATCTCTTGGCTGTGTTTAAACCAGCTTCCTCTGATAGCACAAATGAGTCACAGGTTCAACTCATGTGGAAAACATGACATTGTGGGGAAGGTGGCTTGAAAGCAATAGCAGGGAAGCAAAATTCAGTGCCTCTCTTCTATTTCTCTCTGTTACACGCCATGAAACCGTTGTATAGTATTTTGAACACTCCGTTGTGCATCTAAATTAACTATAATCTTTTTTTTATATTAAACAGCTATCTTTGACCCGCTGAATTTAAGCTGCAAATGTGTCAAAGTAACAAGCACCTTTATTCGTCCAGTGAAATATGCCAAAGTCGAGATCTTTCCAGGTGGGGTTGCCTGCAGAAAAATGGAAATCATGTAAGTTTATTTGGATTTTATGCAGAATTTGGATCCTGATTTATTTTTTTATTCTGGGCATTTCCTCCCTGGTCTTCTAGCATACAGCTAGCCCTTGTCTATCTTCTAGGTAAATCAGTGTTTCTCAGCCTTGGCAGTTTGAAGACATGTGGATCAATTCCCAGAATCCTCCAGGCAGTGCTGTTTTTAAGTCGTGCTGGCTCTTTCCAAGCAAAAGGAGGGATAACTAAGGGCAGTTGAACCAGATGAAATTTTTGCCATGATGAGGAGCTAATTTTGCAAGCTTTATTCAAAAATAAGCTACGTGCAACCAGAGGTGGTATTCAGCAGATTCTGACAGGTTCTGGAGAACCAGCAGCAGAAATTTTGAGTAGTTTGGAGAACCAGCAAATACCCCCTCTGACTGGCCCCGCCCTCATTTCTATTCTCTGTCTTCTGAGTCCCAGCTGATGGGCTGGGTTTTCTTCGGTTGCCCTGCACAGGAGAACGGAGCTGGAAAGCAGGTTATTGGGGTGGGGAGGGAATGGGGATTTTGCAGTAACCTTCCCCTGCCACGCCCACCAAGCCAGACCCACCAAGTCAAGACCAGCCCACCAAGCCATGCCCACAGAACTGGTAGTAAAAAATTTTGAATCCCATCACTGCATGCAACCCATGGAAGAATAGCAGATATAGCCCCTAGTTTCCCTTGGCTGATCTTCTGAAAGGCTAACCCGGGTCAGATACAATGAGTACTTGGAGAGGAGCCTAGCTAGAAGTCTCAGACAGTAGACAGACTGGGAACTAAGAAGAAAATATTCTCAAAAAAGGAACAAGTCAACCGTTGCTCCACCGGAAGTCAAAGGAAATTTTAAAGTAAAATTTTTCGTGAAACAATTTTTTAACCGACATCATTGATCCAGACAGGCTTAGACTGGCCATGGTTTATTTAGTGACAACATCCAGATTGGATCTTGCAACATTACCCTGGGATGCATATATTTGCCTTCATTCATTTAGTGACTGTTTGAAGTTACAACGGCACTGGGGAAAAAAGTGATTTATGGCCGTTTTTCACACTTAACGGCCATTGCAGCCTCTCCATGCTCATAGGATCCAAATTCAGACTCTGACTCATATTTATGACAGTTGCAATGTCCTGGGGGGGTCACATGATCTCCTTTAGCAAACTTCTGATGAGCAAAATGTCTGAAACAACTGTGTTATTAACTTTACTGCAGGGATTCACTTAACGACAGTGGCAAGAAAGGTCATAAAATGAGCACAAACTTACGTAACAACTGTCTCACTTTCTGCAACAGAAATTTGGGGCTCAATTGTGGTCGTAAGTCGAGGATTACCTGTACATCCATAGAGATTTTTTGTAAGCAATAACACAAAAATAGTTTGCCATTGCCTCCTTCTAGAATAGTCAGGGTTTTGTTTTGGAGGGAGCTTCCCTGCTGATAGCAATAGCATTTAAAGAAGGATTTGGTGGATGGGTAGGCGGGGTTATGGGGTCATGTGACTTGGTGGAAGTGAGTGACATCGAGTTGGCCACACCTACCCAGGTTTTGTGGCTCCTGGTTTTTTGTTTTTTTTTCCTGTAGGAAATGGGTCCAAATGGCTCTTTGAGTGGTTAAGACTGCAGACCAGAGGTGGTTCTGCCCGGTTCTGGAGAACCGGAAGTGGAAATTTTGAGTAGTTCGGAGAACCAGCAAATAACGCCTCTCCCAGACTTAGACTTATATACCACTTGACAGTGCTTTACAACCAGTGGTGGGATTCAAATTTCTTTTACTACCGGCTTGGTGGGTGTGGCAGTGGAAGGATACTGTAAAATCTCCAGTCAGAGGTAGCATTGGCCGGTTCTCCAAACTACTCAAAATTTCCACTCCTGGTTCTCCAGAACTGGGCAGAACCTGCTGAATACCCACCTCTGCTTACAACCCTCTCTAAGCAGTTTAAAGTATCAGCATATTGCGCCCCTCAACAATCTGTTCTTCAGGACTGATATTATCTTTGAAAGTACTAAAGACACCAGACTAGAAAGGGAAAGACTGAATTCTGGTGTCGCTTTTGACACAAAACCAGCTGGATGACCTTGAGCCAACCCAGGGAAGGGGAAAGAGGACAAGGGGCAAAAACCACTTCCCAAAATGTTGCCATGAAGACTTCATGGACTTAGTTCATGGACTTACTTAGTTGCCAGGAGTCAAGATTGACCTGGAGGTACACAATAATTACCCTAAAGCCCTAGGCACGCACTTACTTACCAGGTTTGATCTTGCATAGCTTTTGAGATCAGCCAAGGATAGCAACATCCATCCAGGTTTGTCACTGCTTTGCTAAATATTTTGTAATGGAGATGTTTGTACGGTAGAGAACCAACCTAGAACTAAAGAGGAATTTCCTGATAGTGAGAACAATTCATCAGTGGAACAATTTGCCTCTAGAAGTTGTGGGTGCACCATCACTGGAGGCTTTTAAGAAGAGACTGGACAGCCATTTGCTTGAAAGGGTACAGGATTTCCTGTTGTGTAGAGCAGGGGTCCCCAACCACCGGGCCCCGGACTGGTACCGGTCCGGGGAACATTTTCTACCAGGCCGCCGGTTTGCAGGGCGCCGCCATCCTGTTTTGATGAGAAAGTGCTTCCGGGTGCGCTTTTCCAGTTGGAAAGCGGCGTTTGGGTCCTGAAGGAATCCTCGCGCCTTAGTTTCATCGAAGGGGGCGCGCTTCGAACGAAACTAAGGCGTGAAGATTCTTTCAGCACCCAAGGCAAGGCGAGCCGAGCGACCGTCCCAAAGCCCATTGACAAAGGTACAAAGGAGGAGTTGAAGGTGGCGGGGAGAAGCGGGGGACGGCTGGCTGGCCGGTCGCTCGGCTCGCCTTGTCTTGTCATGCGTGCTGATGCCGGTACCAGGCCGTGGATCATTTTGTGATGCCAGTACCGGGCCGTGGCACAAAAAAGGTTGGGGGCCACTGGTGTAGAGGGTTGGACGACAAGACCTCCAAGGTCCCTTCTGACTGAGTTATTCCTGTTATAGTCCACCTTCAGATTTAAGCTTCCGGCTATTTCTTTATTCTCTATCTAATAAAGATCCCTGCTGATGTATCTCAGGGATGGTAAACCTTGGAAGTGTTGCTGGATTCTGCCGCTTTTGTGTCATATTCTATCCAAAAACATAATTGTATTCCCTTGTTACCCACAAATGTGTCTGAGAGTGCAGTCCACAGCGGATCACAGCGGATCACAGCTGATTGGGATGTGAGAGATACAAACAGTTGATGCTTTAATTATAGTTGAATTGAAGTTTTGGAAGGGTGTTGCAATCCATCTGAAAAGGATCGACGTTTCAATTGTGCAGTTACAATCATTGTGACTTATTTTTTAACGCCCATCCCTTTGGAGACCCTGATTTGGGCACATAATAGCCCAAAGCCAACATGATCAAATTTCCTCTTTTCTATTATAAAAGTTATAATTTTATATATATATATATATTTAGTTGGTCTGTGGTTTTCTTGCTTGGCTCCCTTCCTGATTTAAGTTAAATGGTCACCCCAGCTAAATCAGGAATTTCTGTCATTTGTGGCTAACATGCTGGATGGGTTTCTTAATTTTTATAACTCCACTTAAACTCCCTCCCACAGGTAGATGTATTATTTCCTGGGGAAAATTCACCTCACCCAATTTGCTTGCTTTGTAGAATCACACTGAAGAGCAACCGCAAAGTCTGCATTGATCCCAAAGCCAGTTGGGTGAACTCTTTATTGAACATGATGGAAAAAGTGTAAGTCAAGTCAAAATGTTTTAAATTGGTGCTTGATCTCTGGTGCTAGAGGCATCCATGCAGTATCTTTTATTTTTCTGGAAAAGATTGCTGTTAGAAAATATGTTCAGCTTCACAGTTTAGCCCAGAGCTGTGATGGTGAACCTATGGCACATGTGCTGCAGGTGGCACGCAGAGCCATTTGTGCGGGCATGCGAGCCCCAGCCAAGCTTACCTCATTGCGCATGTGCGCGCCTCACAGCTGATTTTCAGCCCGTTTGAGGCCTTTTTCGGCTTCCCAGAGGCTTGAGGGGAGCCTCTGCAGCCTTTGGAGGCCAAAAAACTGGCCCATTTCATCACTTCCTGTATTTCCAGAAATACCAGAAGTGATGAAATGGGTCCATTTTTCAGCCTCCAAAGGCTGCAGAGGCTTTCCTCTGGAAGGCCGAAAAGGGCCTCAAATGGGCCAAAAATCATCTGGGAGGTGTGCACATGTGCAGTGAAGGTAAAGGCGTGGCCGAGGGGATCGGGCGCACATGTGCAGGGGGTGTAGGGGGGGCCCACGCATTGCCTTTTGGGTGCTGGCACATGAGCGCACAAGCGCGCATGCAATTTTCGGCACAGAAGCCCCAAAAAGTTAGCCACCATTCGCCCAGAGGTCTCCAAACTTGGCAACTTTAAGACGTGGACTATGCTGGCTGGAGAATTCTAAGAGTTGAAGCCACAAGTCTTAAAGTTGCCAAGTTTGGGAACCCCTGAACTTTAGCCCATAGCCCTGGAATTCCCAGATATATAGATAGTTCTCAACTTACAACAGTTCATTTAGTGACCATTGGAAGTTTACACCACCACTGGAAAAAGTGACTTATGACAGTTTTTCACGCTTTGGACTGTTGCAGCATCCCCACAATCACATGGTCCAAATTCAGACAGTTGGCAACTGACTCATATTTATGACGGTTGCCATGTCCCGGGGTGACATGATTCGCTTTTGTGAAGACAATGTAATGATATGTTATAACTGATCACAATGAAATGAATGCTATTATAAACCAAGTTTTGTGAAAGTTGAGGTTTGCTCGAAAAGAATGATGTGAATTTATAATTAAAGTCTAATAAGGAGTTAATAATAATATAATATAGTATGTATAGTTGATCTATATAATATTAATTTCAATTTAAACTTAGAAGACTATTGATACTGTGCACAAAAGATATGTACCAACTGACACTGTACAATGGAAATATGGTTTTATGTTTTGTGTTTATGTTTGTATTTGTCAATGTTTGTTGTCAAAATCAATAAAAAAAACTTTTTATTAAAAAAAAAAGGCAAAATTAACAACTGCCTCACTTAGCAACATCAATTTTGGGGTCAATTGTGGTCGTAAGCCGAGGACTACCTGGATTTGTCCACCTAGTTCGTTGATGTCCAATTTTCATGGCAAACAACTATATCTCTTCCCTACAGGAATGGACCTTCCTCTTGAAACGAAGTTCGAAGTGTCCTTTCAAAATCCATCGATTCCCAAATGTGAAGCCTCTTGCTTTTCTGCTGTGCGATGCTGATTGTGTCCAATTATGCCTGAAATGACTGTTAAAGTGTTTGGACTTTTTGGAAATCCGGAAGCAATGTGAACATGCAAGCTTGAATCTGAATCTGAGGTGTGTGTGAGAATAACCAAGTTTGTATTTCGGTGTGAGTAGATCAATAAAGAAAAAAGATGAACTAAATCTGTTGTGTAGTCCTATTTTTGTCTCCATGTGTGCTCATAACTGACCCCCAAATTTCTATGATTAAGTGAGACACTGCTTAAAGGGAGTTTTCCTCCATTTTGTGACTTTTATGGCCATAGTTGTTAAGTAGAATAGAATAGAATGACAGAGTTGGAAGGGACCTTGGAGGTCTTGTAGTCCAACCCCCTGCTTAGGCAGGAAACCCTATAGCATTCCAGACAAATGACTGCCCAATCTCTTCTTAAAAACTTCCAGCGTTGGAGAATTCACAACTTCTGGAGGCAAGTTGTTCCACTGGTTAATTGTTCTGTCAGGAAATTCCTCCTTAATTCTAAGTTGCTTCTGTCCTTGGTTAGTTTCCATCCATTGGTTCTTGCTCTGCCCTCTGGTGCTTTGGAGAATAGCTTGACTCCCTCTTCTTTGGGGCAGCCCCTGAGATATTGGTAGACTGCTGTCATGTCACCCCAAGTCCTTCTTTTTATCAAATTAGACATAACCAATTCCTGCAACTGCTCTTCATATGTTTGAGTCTCCAGGCCACCATTTCTAAATGCACTGAGTTATTTTACAATTTAAATGCATTTTGCTTCTTGGTTCTTTAAGCAGGGAACAAAATTCAAAGAGTTTAGGAATTCGGTCATTCAGGTCATTTTGCAACAGAATGCATAAAGTTCAAATACCTCAAGTAGTTTTAGTTGTGAGCTTCTTTAGTAAAGACAATTGGGCTTTTGAAAAAAAAAAATCTAACGGTCTATATAGAAGAAAAAAGGAAGGGATGAATGAATGCAAAACATAAGGCAAATGCCCAGATTAATATTTTCCTAGGGGAAAAAAGTGGGTTCTTCACAGAACCCCAGAATCGAAAAGGGCCAGAATAAATACAGAATAACAAAGTTGGAAAGGACCTTGGAGGTCTTCTAGTCTGACCCCCAGCTCAAGCAGGTCGCAAAAGGGGATCACTTTTGCCTGGGACACTGCAACCATCATAAGTATGAGTCAGTTGCCAAGTGCCTGAATGTTGATCATGTGACCGTGGAGATGCTACAACAGTCATAAGTGCGAAAAATGGTCCTGTTACTTTTTTTCAGTGCCGTTGTAACTTTGAATGGTAAGTCGAGGACTACCCGTACGGTATAATACTGGTCATAACGATCAAAATTTAGGTGCTTGGCAACCAACCTGTACTCACAATTGTTGCTGTGTCCCCTGTTCAGTGAACACCATATTTGTAATCTTCCCAGCTGGTTTTCAACAAGCAAAGCCAATGGAGGAAGTTGGATTTGTTTAACATACATGTAGGGTTGGGGTTCTACCGGTTCAAACTGGTTCAGATGAACCCCTTGCTCCGAAAACCAGCTGGCAGTGAACTGGTTCGCTGAGACTATCATGTGGGGCCACCTGCCCCTGCGCTTTACCTACCTATATCATCGCAGCTAATTAGCACTGCACAGCAGATGTGATGACCCAGGGCATGGCACAAAGGCGACACAGTCACCTAAGTAAGAAAAATCCCTTTAATACCTCCAACTTTGCCCCCAATGTCCAGTTACCCTCAGCTGGAGAAAAACAAACTCTCCCAAGAACACTCTTTAAGTGGAGGAAATTCAGTCCAAAAACAAAGTACATATAAACTGTAAATAAAAATCCACACAAACCACGCTGTAGTAATTAACCTGACAGGGCAGGATAAGGAATTGAAGACTTCAAAGGCCAACAAAACAGACACAGTTGGGAAGACGCCAGGAGCCCAGATAAGCCCTGAGCAGATAACTCACGATTTGCTTCCCATGAGTTGCTGTGCGCAACCTCCCCTTTAAAACACTGTGTTCCCAGCTGCAGCTAATGAAGGGAATTAGGGCCCTTTCCTTCCCCGTAAGCCAGGCAACTCACATTGCTCCCTTCTCCGTTCCTCCCTGCGTGCCCTGGGAGGAAGAGAGGGTGGGCCTGGGTCTTCCTCTGAACTCCCGCTGCCTTGCTCTACCTCTCCCCTGCTCTGCCAAGCTGCACTTTGCCCTTCTCCAGTTTCTTCCACACCCACCGGAACCACACTCCCCACTCCTTGTCAGCTGCTCAACCTCCCCTTTGGAATCAGATTCCGACAGGGGCAGGACAGTGGATTGCTGCTTCTTAGCCGTATTACTCGAGCGCTGCGCACGCACGCACAACATGGGTCAGGCGTGTGCGTGCGCACAGTGCTCATGCTCGTGCAAATCACGCAATCATCAAACCAGTTGTTAAACCTGGAGAATCCCATCCCTGCACACACGTGATTCACTTAACCACCACAATTCAGTTAAAGACTGGGGCAAAAATGATTGCAAAATCAGGCAGAATTCACTTAACTCATTTAGCACACACACAAAAAATGTAATATGCAAAGTTTAGGATTCGTAGCTGTAAACTTGTATAAGTAGTACAAGTGGTACAATCGCCAAGACTTCTGCCCCAAATTAAGGTATGATAGACATTGATCTGGAAGGGAAGGCGTTGCAGATGACAATGTCTCCTTGGTTGTATGAAATTGGCTGAGCAGAAGGAACCTGGCCAGAAGACCACTAAGCTTTCCATTTTGGTTCTCTGATAACTGAAAACAAGGAAGAATCGGTCTGGTGTTAAAGACAAAAACTTCTCCTTTTTCAAATTCTGCAGAAACATCCTTACTGAAATTAAAAGGTCTGAGTTCCTGCTGTGAACTAAATATAAACACTTAGCCATCGTAAGTTTACATCACTGCTCTCTCTCTCTGTCTCTCTCTGTCTGTCTCACGTGATTCCCCCTTTGTAACCTTCCCAGATACTTCCAACAAAGTCGATGGCGGAAACCGGGTTCACTTAACGACCGCATGATTCACTTAACAACTTCATCGACTCCCTTAACAACCATGGCAAAAAAAGTCATAAAATCAGGCTCATTTAACGACCGCCTTGCTTAGCAACAGAGAGCCTGGTCCCAATTGTGTTTGTAAGTCAAGGAGCCCTAGATTAGAATATGATGATGTATGTCACGCAGCAGCTCTTGATCTAGTGAGAATGGTGAGAGTAGTTTTAGCAAACAAATTCATCCATTGATTGTTTTTTAAAGGCGAACAAGGGATATTGCATTATTCGGTTTTCTAGATCCCGTTTCCTGAGACAAGAAGCCTTTACAAAATTCCATTTTCAATTTCTACTTTCTACCTCTTTTTTCCACCTCTTAATAAAATAACCACCCTATTGAACAAAAATTCTATATCTATCCATCATCTCTTGT